CGGTGTCAGCTTTAATTCCTAATTGCAATTGAACATAACAGATCCCATGTTGCTCATCTTTAGTTACACCACTAATAATATGAGGAACAGTGTTTGTGTGTGACAAAGTGGGTTAGTGGAGCATAAGACGCCTGTGACTGTGTTAAGACCATATTGTGACTCCTCATCCTTTCCCTCCTATTCATACTGCCGCCGCTCCCCTCTGGCAGCCTGCTGATCACAAAGAATTACAGTAAAGTCTGTAAGCAGCGTCTGCAATGTCAGGCTGACTCCATCAACAATAGCTGCAAGGATGCAAGAGTCTCTGTTTGAAAGGAGAGTAAGAGGATCTTCCAGGAGCAAGGATGATGCAAATGCTCAAAATACAACATAACACTATGCTTTTATTTTAAAAGACTGTTCTTGAATAGAGTTTTAAGCCTGGATGAACCCCAGTGATTCCCGACTGCTTTGTGAGCTGTAAATAGCGTTCTGTTCAAAATATATTTAAGTCTGGTGCCATTGATCACTGATGGAGGACCAGTGTGTAGGATTTAGCGGGATCTAGTGGTGAAGTTGTAGTTTACAAACTGAACACTGTAACAAATTCAAATTTGGGTACTTGCTACCACCGAGTACCGATATTAGTACTTAATAATTCCATTACAGTTCAATGTTCCTCAATTTCAGACTGTAACAAGTTAAATGTCGCTAAAAATATCTGCAAACTGCTGACATTGCTTCTCCTCCACCTACCTGCTCAATTAACGAGGGATTATGTAACATTATGCTGATGTAAGGTGCTATCTGGGTATTTCTATGATTACAAGCATAGATAATACATGAGCACAACTTCCCTAGTTTCAGCTTTATATATTTCTTATATTTTGTGCGCAAAAACATACTAACTTAACTTATAAAGGAACTTTAGGAAGCTATCTAACCATGTAGTAGTCCCTCACTCGTTCGTTCTTGCTGTCATTCTTATTCTTCTTTTCCCCCAACTCATTTTAGCTGAACTTCAAAGTTCCTCTGAGTTGTTGTTTGGAGGGTTATTCAGATCACCTGTTGAACAGTCTGTGGGGACGGACTCCTCACAAGTGCAGCTTGGTGGATTCGCCTCTTGGCCAATCAGGGTGTGATGACGCCCATTCTTTATGGCATTAGAGAGGTGAGGAACTGCACACTTGTTTTCTGTCTGATAGTGATTTTAAGCGTTCTGTAACTAACTAACCTAGTCTGAATGAATATTATAGAACCCCTTTCTGCAAGCTTACCTACATCAGAGCAGATCTTGGTGCCATTTGTGCAAGAGCTTTGCTTGCCTAACCATTAGCTGCCACCTGCAGACTTTATCTTGTTTATTGGTCTATTTTGCTAGGCTTAAGCTCAGAGGGGAT